GTGTGTGTGTGTGTGTGTGTGTGTGTGTGTGTGTGTGTGTGTGTGTGTGTGTCACTTTTGTATCAGACACATTTTGGTCCAGTGTTACAATACAAACATTTTTTTACTAAAGCAAAACAATAAAACAAATGCTAGAACCGCTTTGAGCAGAAGTTGGCCTATTACAGGACTGACCAACTGGTGGCCCGCAGGCCACATCTGGTCTACAAGTGACCAAAGTTCGGCCCACCAATTAATTGGTTCATTCATCTCTCAAGCCCAAACCCTGGGTTTTCTACTTTAAGTATTCTAAGTTATTTTATTTAGACATAGACATGTTTGGTATCTACAAAAATATAAGGATATTGAATAAAAGCTGGTAAAAACCATTTCTATGCACACAGAAGACAGTTAAAACCGCAAGCAGTTGAAGATAAAACTATGAAAGTGAAAATAAATTTAGTTTAAAATTTTTGAAAAATCATAGATGTCAAAATAATGTGTCAAATATGAGACATAATGTGTTATTTTAAGTTTTGATATTGCTTTATTATCACTACTTTTATTACACAGGGTTCTGTATGTTGTATTTATGATTAAATAAAAATTAAATAAACTGTTTCTAAGGTAACAGATGTTTGTAATACTTGGTTTATTTACATAATGACTTTACTTGCTGGATGTTGGGCCCTTTAGCTGTTGGCCTGCAGTAACTGTGGCCCCTGGAGTAATTGAGTTGAACAGCCCTGGCCTATAGTTTCATCACTGATCCAGGTCTGAGTGGCTAAACTATTTACTTGAACTTTTTGTTTTTTTGAAATGGTGTGACTGAACAACACACAACTTCAGCGTTGAAAAAAAATAAATAAATCAAATTAGATTTTTGTGCACAAGTTTGAATTGATCTGATCTGTGAAGCTTCAGCACCACTATGTTAGCGATCGTGATCGACTTCAGCTGATAATTTGTCTTTAGTGGCGTAAAAAGGATTAGTTTGACATTAAATCAGGGGTTGATAAACTGTAGGCATCATGACAGGATGTGCGACTAAACTTGTCTTTTATTCAAATTATTGATTGTTTTAATAAAAGTTGTTAGTGAAACTAATGTTTAGACTAAGTTGTGACTTAGACACATTTTTGTTACAAAAACCACATTTCCACGTCCATTAGATGAACCGTAGGAGACAGACCACATGCTGGGCTGCAGGGAGACTCTTTCAGTACTCTCAGTACTCTGACCTGGTGTCAGAAGGTCTCAAACTAGTTCTTATTTGCACCACTTACTTTAAAGAGTGTATTGTTGCGCCTAGCTTGTCTTATTTGAGACGTGTTGCTGCCATCAAATTTGCATTGACCTTATTTGTCCTAAAAGTGGTTTGATTTTTAGTTGAAACTTTTGTCTCACCTACCTTTGTAAATCAAATGGGCTATGAGGTTTTTAAATTATTTAATTCTCTTTGTATTTACAGTTTATGTTTTTCTTCTTAAAGTTTTCTGATCAGCTCACCAGAAGCACATTTTCTACGGATTTTAATGTTTTTTTGTCGTACTTACAAATGTCAGATTTCATATTTATGTTTGGTCAAAATGACAAAAACGGTCTAAATAAAAAAAGATAGATAGTCAGTTAGTTTTGATTTACCGGTAGTTTCTAATCTCAGCATGAATGCAGTCTTTTCCCCAGAGTAAATGACAACAAGCCAGATTTTGAAGGATCTATTATTAGAACAGATAATCAAAGATGTAAACTAGATCAGTCCAACTCTTGTGTTTGACTCATTTTAACTCTTTGTGTTAACATTTTGTTATTGTTTTAATAAAACAAACTTCTAGATTTGTAGGACTGAAGCAGTTCATTGAGTAACTTGAAAAACCAGATTACAAAAATATTCTTCTTCTTTTGATTCTTCATTTACTCGGCGGAGATTAAACTCAGTTACATAAGAGGGCCAAAATTCAAAACTGGGTTTATTAAATAACAAACTATTCTTATAGAAATACAAATAACCTTTTCCAAATTATATTTTATGTAGAGTTTAGAACATATACTAACAGATAAATATATATATAATTCAAAAAGGCTCATTATTAGCATTCATTTCTCACATTCTCTTAATATCTTTTTAATTTATTGTTGCTTAGAAACAGATTTTATTAAAAAAATCAGACAAATCGGTTAAAAAAGAAAAAGCCTCAAACATCCAATTATTTAGCATTAATAAAAGTCAGCTGCTGTTGTGAAGAGAAGGCAGTAAATACAGTGTCAAAAATAGAAACCATAAACATACAGTATTTTACATTTGAAATATAACTATTGGGGCCAGATCAAATGTTAATGAGGGCCACGTTTGGCCCACTGGCCTTGAGTTTGACACGTGACTTATTCCATGTGACCATGTCAAATGGACAGTTGTTACTGTTAAACATGTTGCCAAATGCAAGATGGAGAACAATAACAAATATAAACTCAGAAAAATGACAAGAACTTTGGGATCATGTCAGACAGAAAAAAGTAAAAATATAACAGTAAAAGTAATTCAGCACTTTGAGTTTTACAGAGTTCCTCACAGATACAATCAGCCTTTACTATGAGACCAAAACAATACAGTGTCCTGACTGATCAGGCTCAAACTGAGAGTCAGAAAGGTCTCAGGTGGAACACATTTTCTCTAAACTCAAACCAAGGAACAGGTTTAAACTTTATTTTCTCCTCTTCAATGCTGACAAACCACTGTATGACCTCAGCTTTAAGGCTCCGCCCACACAAGAACGCAGATTTTACAAAACAACCATTTCCCCGTGTTTTCACTCAGAAACAACCTAAACACTGCAATCATCCTTTTTTATTTTATTTTTTTTTTTTTTTGTGAACTGACAACAAAGTAAACAACAAACTAGATTTGATTGAGAAGGGTGTTGGTTCAAATCCACAGACTTAATAATAAACTGATTCAGGCTGTGAGCCAGAGGAAATTATACACAAGTGTCAAGTTTCAAAACTTTCACCATTTTTGACGGGTTTTTTTTTTTTATTGTATTCTTGATGGATATTGTATTATTATAACATTTGTTTTTCGTGTATTTGACAGATCAGCGAATTAATAAAAACATTTTGGTCTTAAATTATTTGGTTTAATAATAATAATAATAATAATAATAATAATAATAATAATAATAATAATAATAATAATAATAATAATGTAATAAGACTTTTTAACACTGCTTTGTTCAAGACAATGAATGCTTCATCAACCTTGTCTGCTCATTTGTTAAACAGAACATGTATTTGACTTTTATAAATCTGTCAGCATATTTACTGTGATATTTTTGTTTATATATTATTATTATTATTATTATTATTAATAATTTATTTTGTTTTAATAATCCGCAATTGGAAGCACTGATTCATTTTGTTTTGTGACCCAGCTTCTGGTTTTATGGTTTGACTACAGTTAATCAGATTTACCTGCACTACATTAAACACTGTCATGATTGCTGTAGCCTGGATGTTTGTGTTGATTAGACGTTCTCATTGCAGACGGAAAAGACGGAACTTCAACAAGCAGGCCACAGAGATCCTGAATGAGTATTTCTACTCCCACCTCAGTAACCCGTACCCCAGCGAGGAGGCTAAAGAGGAGCTGGCTAAGAAGTGTGCCATCACAGTGGCTCAGGTACCGAACATCACCTGATGACCCGCTAATGTTACACAAATAACAAGAACATTTTTCTTTCTTCACCACAGCAACTGTCAGCAGCGACTACATAACATTGTTAGTAAATTGAAGCGCTCTAATAATTTGTTTCTTTTTTTAGTCAACAGAACATTCAAAATATTAACATGACGTAGTTCCGTCATGTTATAACTCAATCCAGACAAACTATTTTCATGACACTTTTAAAGAACCATAACCTTAGCATGGTATTCCCTTTAATTTAGCAATAATTCCACACATTTATTTTTCTTTTATTTTCGTACATAACTATTATGATACAGGTATATACTGCTTTACAATGGACAAGTTTAATTTGTAATCATGTGCAGATTAAATAATAGCACTGTACAAACCTACTAAATATGACTAAAAGCTGATTGGTTGTTAGACTCTTAGTGTGATATTCACTGGACGCTTTACATAAATTAGGAATTATGTTAAATTTATAAACAAACAGCTTAGTGGACAAAGACTTACATGTGGAACAACATCCTGGAATTTCTATGTCAAATAAAAACTTGCACTAAATAAAAAAACATTATCACATAAACCTGATTTTAAAGTTGGATCAAACTAGAGTCATGAGAAGAATTAAGCCCACCCTTCTTAAGTTCTAAGATTTTATGTATTGGGACAACAAAAAGGGTCTGTTTCTTTACCATGTTTTAAAATTATTCCAGTCTGACCTAAAGTGAACAAAAACAGATTCCACCTAAATCCTCAAGTATTAAAGGGGCAATGTTATGTGTTTCCCAGGCACATATTGAAATTCTATACCATAATAAAGTAACTGTCAGCTTTAGTTGTTATTAAAATGCTGTTTATATGTTTAAATAGAAAATAAATGTGCTCTGTGAGGAAGCTCAGCTTGGAGACACAGCCCAGAGGAGGAGCTGGTCCCAAAAGGCGGTTCTAGTCCCAACCAGTCGTTTTCGCTCCCCTGCCTGCTGCCTCAGGACACTACAGGATTTCTCAAACATGCATGAATGAGTCAAAGCAAGACTCTGGGCATGTTTTTGATGAGAGGATAACATTATAACATGATATAAAACTCAAAAAGTTGATTTTACATGATATTGCCCCTTTAAACAAAAACTAAACTAACATGGAAAAGCTGTGTGTGAAAAACTGAACACACCTCATAATTCAACGGTTATAGAAGCTCTTTTAGCAGCTATAACTCTCAACAGTGGTCTTCTCTCTCAAATGGTTGTGGAGGAATTTTGGCCCATTCTTCTTTACAACGTTTCAATTCTTTGACTAACTGCAGATGTTTGTTTCACAGCTCTTCTAAAGTCTCATCACAGCATTTTATTAAGGCTGAGCTGAACTTTGGATCACTGATTGATTGATTGATTGATTGATTGATTGATTGATTGATTGATTGATTGATTGATTGATTGATTGATTGATTGATTGATTGATTGATTGA